GTAGGATAAGAACCAGACTTCTAACCAAAAGATAGGCAGTTCAAACCTACCAATTGCTCTTCGGAAACACTATACTGGGTCACTATAAATTGGAACTGACTTTACAGACTTTAACAACAACATGGTTTATCTAAGTGCAAATGTTTGGTATGCAATAGAATGTAATGGATCATATATTGGGTATTTGTTGTTGTTGTTAAGTGCGGTCAAGTCAGTGCTGACTCATAGCAACCCTGTATAGGGTTTCCAAGGAGTGGCTGGTGTTTTTGAACCACCGAACTTGTAGCCCAGTGCTTATCCTACAGCGCCACACCAGGACTCCTTATGCTGGGAATAAAGGTCTGAAATGGAGCTGCAGACTGGGAGTTATTAGTATGTAAATAGTAACTGAAGAAGACATGTGAGTGGTGGTACTGTCCAAGGTGATGTGCAAAGAAACGAGAGAACAGGTTAGGCTGCTGGACTTCAAGGAACACCCCAAATTAAAAGTTGGGCAGAGAAACAGGAGTTACAACAAATTCCAAGTTCACCAATAATCTTCAAACCATAATTTGTATATTATTTTATATTCTCCTCGGCCAAGTTTTTACTAGAGATACTTGCTGTTGTTAAGGGCTGTCGAGCTGGTTCTGACTCATAGCAACCTTGTATAGGGTTTCCGAGGAGCGGCTGGTGAGTTTGAACTGCCGATCTTGTGGTTCAACCCTACCTTATGGTCGAGTGCTTCTCCTACTGCGCCACACCAGGACTCCCTAGAGATGCGAACAGGTATAAAGTAGGCTCATTTGAACTTTTCTGTTGTGCTTCTAACTTGTAACGCCATAAATGGCAATGAAAGTCATTTTAAAAATAACTTGAAATCAACTGTAAAAGAAATAAATTCAAATATAGTCTACAAAACAAATAAACAACCTTTGATTGTTCGATACATGACAATTTTAACTTTTCTACATTCAAACAAATCCTTACTTATGCTGTAATTTGCACTTCATGAGTTCTTTAACAGTTTATTTCCTGATCTACTGGGTAGTATTGGATGGATTTACTGCTCACTGACAGACTAGAGAGACTTTCTCTGACCAAAACATGTGACTAGATGGCGATTTGATGGTCAGACAACAGCCATAGCCCATAGTCCCACAGAGAAAATATCCAAATCACTTTTAGATAGGTAAATGCAGATTCACCTTTTCTGTTTCCCTTATATCATAAAATGTGTTCTTCTCTTTCTTTCTGAGGAGCAATGGGAATGTAACCTCTGGGGTGGTTAAGCTGCGGTATATTAATAAATATTTGATAACTGGCTTTCTGAAGAAATAAAAGTCTTGGTTAATACTATTGGCCATTTTCTATGGTGTAAATATTTCCGTTGTAGCCAATTTCAAGCTAACAACTTAATTTCATAGAAAACAAAACAGGGGACAAAAATGAGTACAGACAGTCCCCAGTTTATGACAGGGTCCTGTTCTGACAACTCTGTGGTAAGGAAAGCAGTCAAATACCTCTTTATTAATTTATTTTTTAAAGTTTTCATGATTGTTGCCTTTTATTTTCGGGGATTGGAAACATTACATATAAACTTACAAATATTTATTAACATTATATATAGCTGTTGTTAAGTGTCCTCCAGTTGGTTCTGACTCAGGTGACCCCGTATAGGATTTCCAAGGAGCCGCTAGTGAGTTTGAACCACTGACCTTGCTGTTCAAACCGACCTTGCAGTTCAGTGCTTTAACCCACAGTGCCACACCAGGACTCCACTGTATGTAGTATATGTTACTAATGATAAAAGGTACCAAAAACAAAACAAGACAAAAACAAAAAAACAAAAAAAACCCCGAGACTATTTTAAGCGCGATTCGTTATAATTTGAATACATCATAAGTTGGGAGCTACCAGTATAATTGATTCGTGTAAAACAGTGCAAACTGCCTCCAGCACATGACTAGACCACAAATTGACTGGTGGGTAGGAACAGGAAAATACTCTGTATAAGCAGAAGTAGATCTATGGGAAATAGTACATATGGCAAGCACTGAAATTGATCCCCTGTCCAAACATGTGACATCTACCTTTTAGGTAACTTTATCATAATAAAAGATATCAGCACAAAATTATAGGCCAAGCTCATTAATCTTTTGCTTCATATATTATGGCACTACATGAAAATTACAAGTGTACTTTCTTTGCTTATCCTGATAAAAATTGGTTTAT